TTAGGTCTATCAACAAGTTGATGAGTAATACTTTCATCATTTACATCATAAGTTGCACCAGGACACATTGTTTTATCCCATGAAACATTTCCACCACATGCACTAATAAGAAAAGAAAATAGAATTATTGTTTAGATCAGATAAAAAAACAAGACTAAATTACCGAATTACAAATGCAAACATTTCTCGTGGAATTTCTCGGCTAATAAAAAATTTGCATTTAGAAAATAGTTTTTGTATAGTTTTTGTTTCTTCTTCTTTTCGACGATTTTCTTCATCACCTTCTGTATTACCCAACTATAAATACAACAAAAACGAATTTTTGCTTTTTCAAAATAATAGATTTTAACAAACAAGTTGAGCAGCTTCTTGATCAACTTCAACTTGATCAACTGGATTTGCATCTGCTTTTTTCATGATTGGTAAACCAAGTGAAGCAAGAAACTATAATAAACAACAATAATAATTATTTTTTTATTGAAAAAATCTACCTCATCGGAAAATTCATCTTCAGAACAAAGTGTTGATAATGATGTTGTAGCTGAAAACGTAAGCTAAAAAACATATATAAGATATATATATTTCTAAGATTACAGAAAAATCGATTTATTCCTACTTTAGGTGGATAGATTAAACCAAGATCAGAATATAATTTAAAATTAACAAAACCAAGAAGAGTTGTATAAAATTCCAAAAATGTCGCCATTATCTTAAAATCAACATCAGCTGGATTCTATAATAAAAATTAATCTATAGAAGAAGAAGAAAAAACTATATATTTAGTTTACTTTATGTCCAAGTTTATGTGGAACAATCCATGTTATTATTTCACCACGAATTTCAACTTGAATATAATAACCTTTAACAGATATAAAACATTTTTTTATTGATCCACTTGCAATAACATAATGAAGAAATTCAACAGATAAACGACGACACAAACGAAGACGTGGTTCATAAAGTTTTTTCAATAATGGAAAATTAGCAAAGAGAAATATAAGTGTTAAACAATCATCTAAATCTCTAAGAGCATCAGCAAATGATGGATATCTAAGAGAAATAAATAAATAAAATAAGATTTATAAGAGGAAATAGAATTTTATACCGTTCTCGAACAACATGATCAAGTTTATAGAATGGACGATTATTACGTAATGTTTCTTCTCTAGATTTTTCATTACGTGCTTTTGCTTTTGTTACTCGTCGAAGATATGACTAGAAAAATAAGATTATTTATTATAATAGATAAATATTTGTTTGTTTACTTTTAAATGACGAAATTTATCAATGATCGGTTCATGTGTTAAAAAACGTATATCTTTTGCTAAATAATATGTTTTATTTGCTAAACGACCACGATTTGCTTTACGTCGATTTTTTGGTTCGACTGGATAGATGCCTTTAAGAATACATAATCGTCTAAATACAAAAATACTCATATTATAATTTGAATTAAATTCTTTTTTTCATACCGAAAATCAGCTAATGTTAATTGTAATTTTCGTAAAGCTTGATTACGACTGGTATAATTAACGGACGCACCTTTTTTGTACTAAAATTAAGTAATGATAAATATTTTCAAGTATAAAATTTATACATACTTTTTTTTGCATTTTCGTCATGATGATTCGAATATGTTAATGATTTATAATATTAATCTAAAAAATAATTCTCATCATCATCCTATATATAATCAATTATTAAAAGTAATTTTATAAATATTAAACATACAAGTACATAAATAAATTGTCGATTAGCTTTTTGAATAGAAATACTCTATGTTCTCATGGAATAAATATTATATTATTAACTAATGCACTTTTATTATTTTCACGTAAATCTTCTGTTGAATTACAATCATGAATAAATATCAAATAGCTATCTTTAATTGATTCATTTCCGATGTTAATCAAATCAATAAAAACAAAATATGAAAGATGTAAAAATGGACTTAATTTCAGAAGTAAAAAAAAAACTATTGCTGTTTGTGTTTTTCTACTGATAGCAAATAGAAATAAGAGGCAAAGCATTAAAAATAAGTCTTTATTTGATTGGTTAATAAAAAAAAAAACTTATATCCATATTGTGCTGTCATCTGTTAATAATAGATCAAAGAATTAATTCACAACCATTTATTTGTAAAGGTACTGATGATAATATAGAATGTTCAACCGTATTATTATCAGATAATTTTGTCATCCATGGTTTATTTGCTTCGAGAATATGTGATACTGATTTGAAACTAGCTGATTTATCATCACAATCACTTTCATTAAAATCAACATGATCATTTATCGTTGGTACTGATCGATACTGTACATTTGATGATGGTTTAGAATATTTTTCAGATCCTGATCTTTGATGATCAGATGACGATGGATAACTTATTAAATTATCATAATGTTCATCTTCATTTTGTTTTTGCATACATGCTTGATCAAAATCACGTAGAGCATTTCGATTTAAATTATAAATAAGAGAATCTAACGCATGTGCTTCATTAGTATTAGTAGTAGTCTCTGTTGTTGGTTTGGTTTCTTGTAAACGATGATGATATTCTGTCATAAGATTTCGTAAAGTATTTGCTTTATGATAAACAGTTTTCATAAATCGACGTTTACGAATCGTGTGTACTAATTGTAAAATACATAATATTCCACATACAATCGCATATTGTGTAAGAAGAAAAACAAATGTATTTCCATGATCATCTGAATCAATATCATGATGACCATATTTATGAAAATTAAAAATAATATCTTGACAAAATATATGTTTAGGATTTTTCATTAATTTTGATGTATAAATTAATAAACATACTGTATGTCGACCATGTTTAATATTATGTAAATAGAGTGATAATGTTGAATTAATTATTTCATGTGGTTTATCAAATGTTTCAATATGATCAGTATTTGTATGACGAACAATAAAACGTGTTGATGTAGTCGACGATAGTAATGATTCATGGAGATGAAAACGAACTCGAATAGTATGTTTATCAATAAATTTCCATGTACTTCGATATAAATTTATATCAAATTGATGAGTTATATTCATTCTCCGTCGTTTTATAAACATTGTTGAGTTAATATTTGATGTTAGAGAAATTTTATTGTGTGTAGAGCGATTTTGATTAATATCGAACGATGGAGGAGCAAGAACAAAAAAAATTCAACCATAAACAAAACCAAATTGTTAACGAAATCATTTTTTTTTTGAAAGAAATATGAGAACTGAGGTTTTTTATATTATCAAATAGAAGAAAAACAGAACTTGTTGTACGATTTATAAATGATGCATCGGCACATAAAGAACTAATGTGAGAATAATTTTGTTTTTTATTCTTGCTAGTAACAGAACTAATAGAAATTTTCTTTTTTCTCTTTTCATTGTCATGCAGCTGATGCTTCGATTATCATATCACAGCATAGATTGACAAATTTCCTAGATCATGTGGCGTGATTTTTAAGGAAAACAAAATTTATTAATATACTTAATTCTTCAAGAGATTTCTAAGGGAGAAGAAAAAAAACGAAATATGTCATTGATTAATGATCAACTAAAAACATTCTCTTTACAATTTAGTTTATGTCTTAAATCATGTACTATGTTGAATAGGAAAGAAACATTATAACAAATGTCAAAAAAGACATCAGAAAGCAACAAAAAAATATAATTAAGATAGAAGAAAGTCTGTAAAAAAGGTGTGCAGATGAATGTACATAATACACAACTAAAAAAAACTAAACTTTATATGTGCCATTGTGCAAATTTGAATGTGGTACATTTGGATTTTTATATATTCTATTCTAATCAAGCTTAGTTCGTCTTTACCTACGACGACGACGAGTAATGAGTTTTATGATTATCAACAAAATAGATTATTGCAATCAGCAGATCCTACTAATCAATCTGTTTCATCGAATATCTGTTCATTACAATCAATTAATATTGATACACGAGCAAGTGATACTAATACATTTGGTTTTACATCATCTTGGCAATTAAATACAGTAGAAAATACTTCAAATTCAACAATATTGAATATAATTCAAATAATATTTACAATTCCTTATACAATTTCAAATAATTCTATTTTTAATAAAACTGTATTTATTACAGATGTAGTACATAATCAATTACTAGCATCTCTAACTAATATATGTATTAATGGATCATCATTTATTATTAATTATTCAACGACTATATCATTACCACATAATATTTGTTTATATTTATTATTAAATCTAACATCATCAACGGTTCTTAAAGAAATCATTTTTTGTCGTACGATTGATTATTCATATAATGATACATCATCAACAGATAACAGTCAAACTGACACAAATCAATCTGTAGGACCTAGTGTATATTTTATTATTTCACAAAGTATTATTATTCTGATTATGATGTTCACTATATATGCAGTACAAACAGTTAGAAAGAAAAGTCTTCTAAATCGTATTGGTCAACTTGTAATTCGTAGTCGACCATATAAGACTATATTTGGTCATAAAACAGATGTACGTAATGATAATAATACTGATAATATTCCAATAAATTCAGCAAATGCACTTCAAGTTGGTTTAAATCAAATAGTTTTACATCGTTCTTTGGCATCGATACCAAGTCTTCATTTAACTATACCTACACCTACGGAAGAACAAGTATTAGCTGCAAATGATTTAACATCAACCATTTATGATCGAAGAATGTCAAGACCATTTATCAATCGTGACTTAATCGATGTTAAAGAATTTACTAAAAGAATCAGTACACCAAATGAAAGTTCCACTGATATTCAATAATAAACATTCGTCTTCTAGACATAAATGAAATAATCGAGCTTTTGATAAAATAAAAAAAACTAGATCTTCCTATTAAATATTGCCTTTTCTTAAAGTAATACACAAATGACATGAATATGAGTGTTTATTTTTGTTAATCTTCAAAACTTTATATACAGATACATCCACAAAAAATAAAACTCAAAGATATTAATCGGCCAATTTTGAAACATCTTCATATGCAATATTATTGAATCGAGTACCAACCATTGAACCCGTTAGTATAGTCACATCCACAGAAAATGTATCTTGATGTATATCTTCTAATGTTGCTTCTTCGCCACGATATGCGCCATTTACAATCAAGACATTCTTTCCTACAAAAAAAAAGAAAATAGATATAGTTTTTGAAAGATTTTTTCAAATTTACCAATAGCGGGAATAACAGTTTCTACATGTGCTTGATCAACACGTATTTTATCATTTGTATCAAGCATTTTAACAACAGCTTGATAACGATTTTCAACTTTAGTAATAACACCTTTCTTTTTATAACATTTTTCACCAAGTTTTGAAGTTATTATTTTGACTATGATGTCCTAAAATGAAAGCATAAGAAAATTCGAAACTTAATAAATAAAAATAAGAATTACTTCATGTAACCAATAATCTTTACGATTTTTTTGTTCTTTCATTTTTTCTTGTGCCTAAAATAATTTTTTTTGATATAGAAAAATTAAATTCATTAAAATTTTTACTTCTCGTAATTCTTCAAGTGCTGATTTTTTTTGGTTTTAATGCAGCTGGTGGGAATGGTTTTTTAAAAACAGAAGAAGTTGTTGTTAAAAAGAAGTCGAGATTTGAACCTATTGAAGAAACTGTTACAACAACAACAACAACAACTACTTCTGGAGTTTCATCCGTTGTATCAGTTCGTTTTTTACTACTTGTAACTAGAATGGATGGTCTAAAATAAACCAGAAAAATTTTAAATGCTATAAATAAAAATGTAAAATCCTACGGTAGAATTTTTTTCTTTTCTTCAACAACAACTTTATTAAATGTAACTTGTACTAAACAAAAAAAGAATTAATAATATTTTAATATAATATACTCATCAAATAAATACCTTTTTCTTCTTCATCATTGCGAACAAATTCAGTATATACTGGTTCAGCATGTTGAATACCTCTTTCTTGATCCCTTCTAATCTAAATAGATAGAATATTTCAAAAGAGAATTGTTTTTCTTTATAAACTCACTTGTTCAGCTATTAATTGTTGTCGTCGTTGTTCATCACTTAAATTCATTTTTTCTTTTTTTTCAGCATCCATTTCACGTCGTACTGAATCAGCATCTTTATCAATTAATGTTACATACCATCCTCGTTCAGTTTCTTCAATTTCACAAAGTCCTACAAATATTTAATTTGTTTATTTTAATTAAGAATACATTTATCTATCGTCTTTTTACCTTGGCTTCCAAGCCAACGAACATAACCTGCTAAAGCAACCCATCGAGTAGCATTCATATGAACATGTTCCCGATCTTTAATATATTCACAATAAACTGTATTAGCTAAAACACGTTTTGTGCCAAATGAACGACGTAATGTACTGAAAAAGCCGCTATGAAATTCACTTAAAAACAAAAAAGAATTTTATTATTTAATAAGATAACAATTATTTATTTACTGTGAATAATTAGAAACATATTTGCCTGCATTTTCACCCACTAATAATAATTGCCGTTGATGGGATTCACTTTGTATATGACATTTGAATCCATTCTTAAAAAAAAGAAGAAAAAAATATATCATTTATTTTTTGTTCAAATAAATTACCTCATCACGACATTGTTTCTCACAAGATTGACAATACCATCGTAATTTTTGTAGACCTTTGGCTTTAATTCTATTACCAATTGCTTTTGGCGTCAAAAAACCACCATCTTTTCCCATATTTGATTTTCGTTTTTTTCAAAATAATCTAAAAATAATAGATCTCAATTCTTCGTTTGACTAGAAAAAAAAAGAAAAAAGAAAAAAAGGAATCATTCTAATTTTAGTCTTTTTTTTTTCAATTTAATCTTTTGATGTAAATTAAATTGATATAAATAAAAATGTCCACAAAGTATACCAATATCATCAACTATATAATCAATTAATAACCAAAAATTTACACTTGATTGTACAACATTATAAAGTATACACGAATCTAATAAGATATTTATACAGATTAAATAAAGTGCAAATTGACATGATGGAATGATAAATATATCTAAACAAAAGCCACCTGAGACAAGAAAAAAAATAATAGCATGTATTCGTATAAAGAATGTCCAAATGAAATTATTAAATAATTTTGTTTCATCATTTGACCACCAAAGTACATAAGCATTGAGAATGAAATAAAAAACATTTAAATAAGTTGATAAACGACGTAAAATAGTTCGAAATGGAATGCTTAATGTATGTAAACTCGCAATAAAACAAAATGCTGACATTGTACCAAGTGAATGTATAATAATACGAATCTTACAAAATCCAAAAAATAGATTATTTTCTAAAAATATATTTCATTTACTTTTAGCCAAGGAGTTAATTCTTGAAGGATATTTGTATACAATAAATATGATGTACAACCAAGTGCAATAATATGAGGTATAAATCCTAATGCATGACGAAATTTTCGATCGCTAACAACGATACCACTTAGAAAATGAAATATGATAAGAATATATACAATGGTAACATAATTTGATCCAGTATAACTAAAACATAATGAATAGAATAAATTAAATAAGAATTCAGTTTCTTACTCGACTTGTGAATTTGCTGCTGATATTTGTCCGATAATAATAGGTAAAGAAAAACTTTTCCAAAATGGATGTCGAATAAGATATTGTGTTGCAATAATTTTACTCCAAAATAAACAATCTTTTTTTGGTGGTGATGAAGAATTATTCTGCTTATTTGATTCTTCCATGTTTGTTTTTATCTGTTAATCTGAAAAACATGAAAACAAACAAATGATTTATTTTTCTAGAACAAAAACTGGATGTTTTTAATGTCCATATTTTTCTTTTTCTGTACTAACAACTTTTTTCATTGTATTCTCATAGGGATTAAATAAACGTGGATCATCTAAATAAACAGTTTCTTTCCATTTATATGGCATTAAATGAAAACGTCGAGCTTTAAGTATAGCTTTTTCAAGTTCAACTTGTTTAAAATAACATAAACCAGTTGTACGTTGATTAAAAATAAAACCAGTTTGAGGAGATATAAATTGACTTAATAATTTTGTATTACGAAAATCAATTTTTAAATTATGCTCACAAAATATACATTTATGTGGCGATGGTAAATATGGATCATTCATTTGTATAGGTCGATCATCATTTGGATCATATTTTACATCAACTTCCTTTTTAGTAAAATTTGCGGATGATGGACAAGGTTTAGAATCATCATTTGATGCTGCTACAGATTTACGTTTTGGCGGTCCAAGAAGGAATTCTTCACGTCTTTTACGTAATCGTTCATTTCGACGAGATTCATATTGAATCCATTCATCTATTTCAAACAGGAAATTATATTCGATTAATAATAAGAAATATTTTTTTATATTACCATCTTTTTCATAAACTTCAGTTGTTAAATAAACGGATGTATTCACTTTATTAGTGTACTCATCAATATCAGACCATTCAATAGATCGTGTCGAAGATAGATGAAACGAACGAATCGGTGTACGATATAGAAATGAAATTAACGGACGAAAACGATATACTTGGTTCATCATAATATAACTAACACAATAATGTTATTACAAAAAGTTTTCTGATTGATGCATTCAATGAGTCATATACAGTTATTTCCAGCAATGGTAATCTACAGTTCAGTTAGATGTCACTAATCATCAGCTTATTACCTCATACAGATTCTATATAAGATTATGTATTAGAATTATTACGATTTAAATGAAATTTAACTATTTTTTATATGAGAAATAGATTAGTGATGATAAGACATTTGACTTTTTCTCATAAATAATTTCATGTTTCTATTGTAATAAAAATCTGAACATTTGTTAATGTTAATGCCAATTTCAAACTATTTTATTTAATTCGATCAAATTTTTTATCTTGAATGTCGATAGTATATGATTATTATCTCATACGTTTCAATGTTATTTGCAATCAATCTTAAGGTGAATCATACATATTATTTTATGCAAGATAGACATGTAAATAATAATCGATATATCTGTCAAATGACAATGTATATATATATAAATACAATAGTCGAATATACTGATGGCCTTTACTCCTAAGTAATACATCAATCATGCACACTTATATAATCGTCATCAATGATATATTTACTTAAAGAAAGGGCCTCCAGTGATAGGACTCGCGGGACCCATTAGCTTCATCTTTCGATAGAAGATTGTTGAAAAGTCTTTAGACTACGAAATATTGTGGGTCTTAGCCGCTTCTGAATATTGTAATGATAGCGTTTTTTACACGACTATTGTTTAATGTATTATAATGCACAACCACATAGCAACTGTGTAAGACGAATATTTTAGATTGCTTTGAGAATTGAAAAAAAATGCAATTCATCATAGTCAACAACACATTCAAATTATTTTCTTTTTCGACATAATTCTTTGCTTAACATAAAAACGAGAACAAAACAACACGTACAAAAAATATTTTATTTTGATGTAATACACGCTAAATAATATTTCTTAACAAGTACTTCAAATATCAAAGAAACCTGTAGACTGATAATAATTATAAGTTGAGCCATGTACTTTCTCAGGAAATATATTATAACGAAAAGAAAAGAAAAGTTTTTTACACTTCCGTATTTCATATAATTCAACATTTGTTTCACGACTAGTAAACAAAGCACATACATAGACACGAGTCATTTTCTTGACTGATTTATTTCAGATATAGAAACTTTTGACAATAAACATATTCTGTAAAATATCATTTCAATTGATTTATATTCTACCAAAAGTAGATACTGTTTGATTAATTAAAAATATTTCAATCATACACTCATTTTTCCATATCATTAGATCATTTATTAGTTACAATTATTTCTTTTAAATGAGTAGAATATCATCGCTTAATGTTGCTGATCTAAATATATGTAAACAAGTTTCTTATTTTTCTTTTGTAATAAATTCAATAAAAACTTTACTGTTTATTTAACGATATATTTGAATCTGTTTGTTTTTTCCAATTAACAAAAACCATACCTTCTCTCAATCCATTCTTTTTAATGTGACAAATATTACAAAGATATTCATCGGGTATGAGTGGTTGACGAACCCACAAAGTTAATGGATTTGAGCATTGTGCTAACGAGAACAAAAGAAATATAAAAAATACTCTATTATTTATAGTAGTCATTATATTTTATTAACTCACCACAAGTCCAACAATGTCGATGATACTTACGACCAGCTTGAAGAATGCCTTCGCGCGCCAATAACGTTTTACCACACTTTGGACAAAGCATTTATATATATATATATATATATATATAATGGTTTTTTTTTATGTATATGTATGTACTACTCGATTAATAGCTTATTGTTGTTAAAATAAGAAATAAAAACGATGTTGTGACTGTCATTGTTGTAATGATGGAAAGAAAAGAAACAGAAAGCAGCGCAAATAGCTAAAATTCTAGGTATATTAAAACGTAGAGACCAAAAATTGAGATTTTTTTTTCTTCGATTCTTCTTCTATTAGTGTCTCGTTTCGGCCTAAAAACAAACACGAACAACGCGCAATCATTGTAGTCAATCGAGAAAGACGTAAGAAAGAGAGTAGAGTCGTGCGCGCGCGCGCTCTTGCACTTATTGTGCTTCGTTGTTCTGACGTTTGTCAATGCAATTTTGTTTTATATTGATTGAAAGCATGTATATGTATATCAAATCAAGAAAATGAATTCATATATTTACATTCAGTTGTATATTTTATTATAACAAATCTATAAAAATATGATTTCATGTTTAAAATAAATAAAATTTATATCAATATAAAGATACGATTAGTATATATACAGAAGAAGTATATGTAATATATATATATATATATATCACATGTACATAATCAAAAACGCAGTTTTTTGTTAGAGGACAGTGACTTATTATGATAAGGTATATACATACAAAGAGTATTTCTTTTGTTGATAAAAAAAACAGCGAAGTATATGTCAGATATTAGTAAAAATATGTTGTTTATAGCAAGTTGTTATTTTTTGATTATAATTAGTCAAACAATTGTAAGTATAGATACTTTTCAACAAAATGGAACAAATAATTCGAAACAATTTCAAAATGAAGAAGATTTAACAACATTGAATTATTATTTCTTTTCCTATGATATTATTGATCATAAAACAATATTAATTAAATTTGATATTACTCATACGATTCTTTTTCAACAAAGACAAACTCTTTATAATGCTTATCTTCATATTTCGAAGTTACCGTCAGAAAATTATAAAATTAATATTGGACCATTTTTAGGTTATTATGAAAAAGAAATCTCTGGTACAATTACGGATCATTTTACTTTTTGTCTTGTACTTCTGCCAAGTCAACATCAAAATTCTTCGCAAAAACAACAAATTGTACATTATTGTACAAAAATGGGACCTGATGAATATCGTGAACGTCATCCGATTAAACAAGGAAGTAAAGGAGATCATATTTTATTATTATTACAACTATTAATGATTGTTATTATTCTTACTATTTTGCAAATCACACATACAATTCGAAAGCGAAACTCTCACGAATGGTATTTACGACGAATTAGTAGATTTCGTTATGAACTCTTGCGTAGGAAAGAATTTATTGATATGCCTAACGAAACATTAGCCATGCTTCGATTTATCTCAATTAATAGTGAAGAACCGCAAGAAGAAATTGATGAATTAAATGAAGACCGAGAAGAGGGGAAGGAAGAAGAAAAAGAAGTTAATTTAATTTACTCCCACCGACGATTACCGGAACGAGGTATAAGATATCAACGAAGTCGATCACCGTCACCTAGTATTAACTCAATGAATATCAATTCAGATACATTTTCAATTGAACATATTCTTAAGGCTAAACCATGGCTACAAATACCGCATTAAAAAAGAAATAAACATAAACTTTTCATGTCATGTTTTTTTACGAGAAATTTTAATATTATATTAAACATTCGTTAGTTATTACAAAGAAAAGTAACCAAGCGTAGTACTATACATAATTCATAATCATTTTCTAGTTCGAATAAGATGATTAAATGCAAATATGTCGTTTCTTTTCTTCTATATTTATTATGCACGTCATTTTTTTTTTTATCAAATATAGGCACGCATCAGAAACCTATCAAAACAGATTATTAAAATCAACAATATGTCAATCGACCATTAGCAGTATCTTTTCTGTTCTAATCATGTTAAATCAAATAACCTATCAATAATTTTCCCATATTCTACTTTGCATTACCATGTTCTCTCGGTTCTTTTTTTTTCTTTTGATGTTATATGGTAGAACTACAAGGATCTAAAAAAAACATTCTTTTCAACTTATATTACCGTTACTAATCGAGGGAGAATGAGAACGAATATACATGTATATACAATTATACTGTCAGATAAGAAATTGAAAGAAAAAAAAAAGAAACATATTTGTCAAGGGTAATACAGAGTCGTCTATGGCAAATGATTCACAGGTTTAGAGTATATTTATCAACAAAGAATCTTTTTTCTTTTGTTAGAATAACAAAAAATAATAAATAAGATTATTGTTAAATTTTCTTTTGACAACAATCGTTTTAAAAATAAGATATATGGTTTATGAGTACAATAAGAAAAAATGAGATGGATGAGAGCCAACCAAGCGAAACTTCATAGAGAGAAAGAGAGTCTCGATGTAAAGCTGTTGTTCTGTTTGGTAATTTTCAAAAATGAAGTAATCAAATATAGAGAATAAATAGGTATTCATTTATTTGAAATGTGAAATGAATAGATCGATCTTTCTTTCGAAATACAAACAACCCTATGTTTTCACAGGCTTTAATGAACGATGATAATATCAATGATTGATCGATTATAATATAATCAAAAAGCAATTAGTCAAAAAGAAGATACGTCTGTACTAATGTTTATTCAACAATACAAATTATTTCATACAATCATGTTTTCTTTTCGTTCGTTCTACATATATATAAATAAATTAATAATTATATTCAAAATAAACATATTCTATCTATTAGATAAGCTGTTTTTTCTTTCGTAAAAAATCAAAATTAAGATAAAAAAACATTGAACCATTGATAAATGATAGCATATGTGAATATTTTTACTTTCTCTCTTTTCTATTTCATTTGTGTTTGAGTGTTTTTTTTCATTTATTATATTCTTAAGTGAGAATAGCGATACAGGTGGATGTATCCGACGCTGCGTTTTTTGAAGAAGAGAAATATGCGTTCGCGTAGGTGTGCCTATAGTTTGTTGCCAATGCGTATGACTGAATAACGTTTATTATCTTAACATACTCTTTTCTAAAATTAAAAAAACCAAAGAACTGTCGCATATAATATATTTGTATACATGAAGTCTTTTGCATTATCTCGCATATAATATTCTTTTTGTTAATTCTTTTTTTGTGTTATCTTTATCATTATGTTGATCTTATTTCAATATATATATATATGCACTTGATTCTTTTTTTAGTTAGTCTTATTAATCAAATATACAAGAAAGAAAATTTCTTGCTCGCTATTATATGATTTAATCTTTAATATTATTGAACAAACTGACTAATGGTGTTGTGAGTGAAATGATATTATAGGACCATAAATAGTGCGATTAGTAGTATTGTTAGTAAATGAGCGAAAACAATGCATGACAAGAGACCTACAGTTATTCTCTTTTCTTCTCTATTTTCTTTTTCTTCCTGTATTCTTCTCTTTTTGTCACTCTCATTTTCTTCTCTTTCTCTATTTTTCTTCTTCTTCGTCTTCTTCTTCTTCTTCTTCTTCTCTTAATGTCTTCATGTCTTGCCTCTTCTCCTCCTTCTCTTCTTTTTCTTCATCTTCATCTTCTTCTATTTGAAACGTGAAAATGCAAAAGAAAACATAGACAGTCACTTATTCCGCGAGCAACCTGTCACCTGCTATCACTACATCTATTTCGTTTTCTCCACGTAATTCTTTATATTTAATCTTTTTCTTGTATCTTTGTAGATTTTATTCGGAATTTCAAGTGTCACATATAAATTTTGTTAATAAACTTTTAAAAAAAAAAGGCCATGGGTAATAGCGAAGCACGTGTCAAACGAGGCAAAACACTTTCTGATAGTGATGTCAGTGAATTATCCAATTTATCTGGTTTTACTCCACAACAAGTACGAGAATGGCATTCAGGCTTTTTGGTAAGTAAATTTTTTTTTGTTTTGCCAGATGTTAAGCATGCTTTCTGTGTTATAACCATCGTGCTATATACATTTCTCATCTACCTGATCAGATATATAAATATAAAATGAACACTTGAGTGGTATGTGTTATATTGACAAATAGTATTATATTAGTAAAAGCACGAGCTTGCATACTTCATATTCATTATCTTTGTAGGTGTGCTTATAACCACATGGAACTTTATCATTTTTTTTTACATTCTTTTTAGCTAGAGTTTCTTCCTAGTTTTTTTTCTCACTGTCTCCCCACACACTCTCTCTCTCTCTCGGTCTCTTTCATAGACATAGACATTTTTTATTTGTCTCATTCAAACTTAGTCATCGCTGTTAAAAAGCCAAATGACAGTAGGAAAATCGCGCTTTGTGTCTAATTGTATCAGCTATGTCTATATATCTGATCATATTACTTCAGGCGCGAGTTTGAGTTTTGTCATCATCGTCATCATTACGTTACAATGTTCTATATTCATTAGATGAGAATATATATATATATATATATATAAAAGAAAAAGAGAATGAATCGAATGGGTGCTGTGACAATCCACTCGATCACAAGCGTTTCATCTTGACTAACATGCATGGATTGCTCTTCAATATTTGTTGAAAAAATCAAAGATAAATGAGAAAACTCAATAGAGTAATAAAACGCATTAGGCTTTCATCTCCTATTTAATAGAATGATTGCTATTTCCGAAGCATTCTTTTCGATTTCAAAATAAATCAGTCGATTGACATCTTTTATTTTCCATCTTATCTGGATGTAATTCTTGACAGTGAATAGCATTTCATTGAGGAAAAAAACAAAATTGTTATGACATGTACGTAATAAAAATCGATTTATATGCTATATCTTTAGGGCATGTCGAACAACATATTTAGTATTATACCTAATATCTATTTTATTTTGTCTTTTTTCGATTTCTAGAAAGATTGTCCAAGCGGAAGACTAAATAAAAAAAAATTTATTGAAGTTTATAAGCAATTTTATCCAACTGGTAAAGCCGAAAAATTTTGTGAATATGTTTTTCGTACATTCGATACAGATGGTTCAGGCAATATAGGTATGTAATAAATAACTAGAAAAAGAATTTTAAGAATAATTACAACCATAAAAAAGAATCGAGATAACTTTACATTGACGAAATATATTTAGCATAGACAATCGGAGACTCTAGGGG